TTACTCTCAAGAGGTATCCAGAAGTGCTTCTCAATATTTTAGTATCTGTTTAGGCAATGATTGCAGTTTATTTATCTCTCTCTAGTGGGTACAGCAGTAGGAGTTAAATAGTCCATCTTCCTCTCCAAAGGATATAAAGAACTGTATCCCCATAACTCAAGGAAAGAAGAAAATCTCTCTTCCACGTCACATCCTGGTGTGGGAAACGGCCCGTGTGTGCCTTTACTGAGCGTGGATCAGGGGCCGCCTTTGTCTACACATTTCTTTGGGGCATCATCTGTGAAGCCTTTGAGAAGAGCTTCAAGGAGTTCACACCTTGTACAGATGCTGCAGAATGGTTGTTTCTGAATTTAATTGAGGCAGTTTCCTTTTGTGCCACCTGTTCTATTCCAAGGCTTTTACTCTTTCGCATTGCAATGCACAGAGCTGAGTATTTCACCAAATCTCAGTTTCGCTTTGTTTTTATTTTTTTGTATGTAAGTAAAAGTCAGATGCTGCTGTTGTGCTTTTAAACCTGAACACTGCTTCAATAGCTTCTACCCAGCTAGTTTTAATTTTTCCCCAATCTGAGTTTCAAAGTCCATCATTATGGAAAAAAAAGGTATTGTTACATTTCCTGGCAAGGCTTTGTTTCTGATACTTTGCGGGTTAAAAGAGCCCTCAATACCCTGTAGATCACTGGGGTTCTTGATAGCAACTTCAAGCCTCACTGAGAGTTTAATGAGCTGCTGCTGAGTTAGATGACACTTGTTAAGTTTATGGAAAAAGTTTATCCAGTCTGCTGCTGTTATTAGCTATCCAATACCATAGACACCAGAGAGGGCCCTGAACCAGTATCTGTGATCTGAACTACAGCAAAAATATTGGGAAGAATATTTTGATTCCCAGGCTTTGATACAGGTCCAAATTTCACAGTCACTTGCCACATCTATAAAATTTGGCCAGAATGACGAATCCCAGTATTCCTAAAAACTGGAAGTAGAAAGAAACTCTCAAGCTTGGCTAGAATTTTCTGTTTGGGGCTAATTATTCTCTTTTTTCATCTCTGGTACACTTGCTAAGACTCTTCCATGTGATAGGTTTCAGATACAAGCAGCAGCAAATTGAGATCTCCAACCATGAAAGAGGAAAAGCCCAGACGCTGCTAATACCACCCCGTCCTGCCCTGCTGCTGCGCCGCAGTCCTGCGGGGAAGGTTTGGCTTCCTGGCCTCCCTGGAAGCCCCCAAACCGGGGGAAGGTTTGGCTTCCTGGCCTCCCTGGAAGAGAAAGTTCTGATGAGGGGCCCGTTTCGTTCAAAGTTTAACAACATAAGGCTGTTTCACAGCAGCCAAAACCCTCCATCAATCCATCAGTGCTGCAAACAGAAGAGGCTTGGAGAGCAATTCAGTCTTGCAGATTTTTTGTCTCTTAACTGAGTTTCTGGAAGTGGAACATTTATTTGGGCTGTTGCCCATGTCCATGCCCTGTGAACGTGCAAATCCACAAGGCAGCTCTCTCCTTCATGCATTGCCTGTTTGCACGGAAGTTGTGGGAGCTCAGTTACCCATGATACTTCTGCTTTTGTGTCAGCTCTGGATAAATTCAACCAACTTACCTTAAAAGTTATTGGAGAAGTACATACAGACTGAGAGATGGCCCCACCTATATGCTCACAAGAACAGAGCTATTGAAATGCTTATTTCCATAAGAAATTAGGGTGAGAAGATTATTTAGATTTTTTTCTTTAATGAATAGGAGAGGATAAAAGCCAGTCTCTGAATGTATTTATTCTAAATTGGCACACTATAATGAAGAGACTCAAAGAAATGACCATCCAGTCTCAAAGGCCCTGTTAAGCTGGGAGTGATTTAGTTTCCTTGCATGAACTGCCATAAAATTAAGCACTGGGATCTTTAAAATCTGAATTTTGGATGGCCTTGCTGAGAGCCATCAGGAGCAGCACAGCAGCCGACGGCACGGAGGGGCAGGCACGGGCGAACGCGCATCGCAGGAGCAGCCCCAGCTGAAGTGCTCCCCTCCGGCTGGCAGACGGGGCAGGTGTGTCACCCCCAGAAGTGACGTGAGACACTTACTTCTTGTTCACAGCCTTTGAAGTGCTGTGCACAGACAGCCTGAGCCATTACCGCATTTGGAGCAGATCCATCATTTACTGGAAGAATTAAACGCACTCTTGTAGCAAACCTGCAGTTGACACTCACAGGGTGCAATTGAAATCCTCCGGATTAGTAATTCTTTCGAGATCTTTGTAATCATTGGTAATAGGTAGTGAAATAAATCCACATTTATATCCTGCAGACTGCAGCTGTGCTTCTGTTAAAGTAGTATTAAGTGATGGTTTTTAAATCCTTCTGCCAGCTCAGGCTGTAAGAACCGACACTCCTGTGCAGAGGATAACTCATCCTGCCTGATGTGTGCTCCTGAGCAGGAAAGCGCTGGTTAATGAATAATGGAAGCGCGGAGGCAGAGTCGCACTCGGGGCTGGGCTCCTGCGGCTGCTCCCTGGGGAGAGGTCCCCGCGCAGCAGCTGCAGCTGGGACTGGATGGGGCTGTGGATAACCAGGGTAGAAAATATTGCAAAATACTAATGTAAAGCTCTCCCCAGCTGAACAAAGTGCTCAACCTCATCTTGTTCAGTCGAGCGAGGGGTTCATCTGGCCAACGCCGGCGTTGTTCCTGCAGGTATCAGGAGTGCACGCTCACGCCCTGACTTACTCCACAGGCTCCCAGTTCACTAAACAAATATGCCATTAAAAGCTGAACCAACCTTGAGGGGGATATAGGGGTTTAAATTGCAGCAGGAAGAGATTTATGGACTTGTTTTCCAAGCCTAGAGAGTAATTGAAGAGACTTCAGAGAGCTCAGCTCTGATGAGGGAAGCCAGCACTTCACTGGGGGCAAGACAGGATGGGTGACGGGTGCCAGAGAAGAGAAAGTTCTGATGAGGGGCCCGTTTCGTTCAAAGTTTAACAACATAAGGCTGTTTCACAGCAGCCAAAACCCTCCATCAATCCATCAGTGCTGCAAACAGAAGAGGCTTGGAGAGCAATTCAGTCTTGCAGATTTTTTGTCTCTTAACTGAGTTTCTGGAAGTGGAACATTTATTTGGGCTGTTGCCCATGTCCATGCCCTGTGAACGTGCAAATCCACAAGGCAGCTCTCTCCTTCATGCATTGCCTGTTTGCACGGAAGTTGTGGGAGCTCAGTTACCCATGATACTTCTGCTTTTGTGTCAGCTCTGGATAAATTCAACCAACTTACCTTAAAAGTTATTGGAGAAGTACATACAGACTGAGAGATGGCCCCACCTATATGCTCACAAGAACAGAGCTATTGAAATGCTTATTTCCATAAGAAATTAGGGTGAGAAGATTATTTAGATTTTTTTCTTTAATGAATAGGAGAGGATAAAAGCCAGTCTCTGAATGTATTTATTCTAAATTGGCACACTATAATGAAGAGACTCAAAGAAATGACCATCCAGTCTCAAAGGCCCTGTTAAGCTGGGAGTGATTTAGTTTCCTTGCATGAACTGCCATAAAATTAAGCACTGGGATCTTTAAAATCTGAATTTTGGATGGCCTTGCTGAGAGCCATCAGGAGCAGCACAGCAGCCGACGGCACGGAGGGGCAGGCACGGGCGAACGCGCATCGCAGGAGCAGCCCCAGCTGAAGTGCTCCCCTCCGGCTGGCAGACGGGGCAGGTGTGTCACCCCCAGAAGTGACGTGAGACACTTACTTCTTGTTCACAGCCTTTGAAGTGCTGTGCACAGACAGCCTGAGCCATTACCGCATTTGGAGCAGATCCATCATTTACTGGAAGAATTAAACGCACTCTTGTAGCAAACCTGCAGTTGACACTCACAGGGTGCAATTGAAATCCTCCGGATTAGTAATTCTTTCGAGATCTTTGTAATCATTGGTAATAGGTAGTGAAATAAATCCACATTTATATCCTGCAGACTGCAGCTGTGCTTCTGTTAAAGTAGTATTAAGTGATGGTTTTTAAATCCTTCTGCCAGCTCAGGCTGTAAGAACCGACACTCCTGTGCAGAGGATAACTCATCCTGCCTGATGTGTGCTCCTGAGCAGGAAAGCGCTGGTTAATGAATAATGGAAGCGCGGAGGCAGAGTCGCACTCGGGGCTGGGCTCCTGCGGCTGCTCCCTGGGGAGAGGTCCCCGCGCAGCAGCTGCAGCTGGGACTGGATGGGGCTGTGGATAACCAGGGTAGAAAATATTGCAAAATACTAATGTAAAGCTCTCCCCAGCTGAACAAAGTGCTCAACCTCATCTTGTTCAGTCGAGCGAGGGGTTCATCTGGCCAACGCCGGCGTTGTTCCTGCAGGTATCAGGAGTGCACGCTCACGCCCTGACTTACTCCACAGGCTCCCAGTTCACTAAACAAATATGCCATTAAAAGCTGAACCAACCTTGAGGGGGATATAGGGGTTTAAATTGCAGCAGGAAGAGATTTATGGACTTGTTTTCCAAGCCTAGAGAGTAATTGAAGAGACTTCAGAGAGCTCAGCTCTGATGAGGGAAGCCAGCACTTCACTGGGGGCAAGACAGGATGGGTGACGGGTGCCAGATTGGCACTCAGCTTTGTTGTGGAGCCCCAGCCATGGAGCAGGGACCCAGAGTGACAGTCACTCTAGGAACAAAAAGAAGCTTTGCAAACTTGGTATGCTTGTAAGATAAGCACTGCACTGATAAAGTAAAGCACAGAGAGATTAAAAACCTCAGGGTAATGATATTAGTGTAGACTGCAGAAAAGAGCATCCTGGCTCTCCCTTCCTTCAGCTAGTCTTCTGCCTAATCTGCCCAAAATTTGTGACCTCAGAGATGGTTTCTTGATGGCATTAAAAAAATCAGTGACCAACTCAACAGGAGAATAATTTACTTACACAGCCAAGGAGGAAAAGGAAATAAAGCAGAGCTGGCAGAAGTGCATTTACCTGGTTCTATTCCTTATGTTTTACGTTTGCTTTTTTTTCATTTAGGTATCTACAAAGGACATTGCTTCCGAATCAACCACTTCCCTGAAGACAATGACTATGACCATGACAGCTCAGAATACCTTCTCCGTAAGTGAAAAGTAATACCTAGTACACACGATTAACAGACATGGCCAGAGAGACTTTCCTGGGTTTCTCTTCCGTGGAGTCCAATCCAAGTCTTACTCATTGCAAGAGACTGTCCCAAACGTGGTGGCACAAAGCAGTAGTGACATATGTCCAGTTCACACTGCAGCTGACGCAACCATGACACTCAGGGACCCCCATATCAAAGGTTTTCTTCACCCAGGGGAACACACACAACTGTGGTGTCCATTCTCTAAACATTATATGGAAATTTTTCGAATGAAAGCTACAGCGATCATTCCCACATTGGCGAGGGTGTTTTACATAGGGAGTATTTAATCGATTAGTGTATCAAAACAGGTTTGAGGAGTGGGTTCCAGCCCATTAGGAACCTTTTCCTAATGCTTAAATCCAACCCCTATGCAGCCTCATCCTTTGCTGCTGCTGAGCCACCTCCTCCTGCAGTGAAAATACTGCATTGTAGGAAGGAAGCCGGAATTTCTGCAGCTAAGGGCAAAATCTCAGCATGAACTCGGGCTGTGGCTCCCCTGCATGGATAACCAGACATTGCTGTTCCGTGCAATCCCCCACAAAAGTAATTTCATCCACCAACCTGGCACGACCATTCCCTCAGCTGATAGACTTGGAACCTGAGTATGAAACTTCATGAATCCTGCAAAGCTGGAGTTAGATTTCCCCTTCCCCAGAGGCCACCTTGCCTAGTTGTTCCTTCTGAACAGAAGAGCTGACCAGCCAAGCTGAAAGCAATGTCCTTTACCAGAGGAAGTTCACAAGGTGTTGGGAAAGCTTCAGGGAGCAATGAATGACACTGCTGCCTGATACACCCAGCAAGGCAAAACACTCCTCAATTATACTGCTATTAATTACCTGAAACACCACTTAGAGAACCACTCTGCCCTTCTGCTCACCTGTGGGACACAACTTCTGGTTGCTAAAACAGGAAGAAAAAAAAAAAATCTCCGAAAAGTACACTTTAGCAGAAAACCTAGATTTTTTTTTTGTCTTTACTCTTGTCAATTTAGATCAGTCATAGCGCTTGGGTGACGTGATTTCAGTGCTCAGGTGAAGGCAGACTAGCACCGTGAGCACGGCTGCATTTATCTTTCATACAAAGCTTTGGAACTGATGTTAAAATGATCCAAAGTCAGCGTTAGGAAAGAAACATCATTAGTAAGAGGACTGTAAAGGAAAGAAGAATTAAGTAGCATCTTGATGAAAATGTATTATGCCTTCATTATTCGGAGAAAATATAGAACTGGGAAAAACAGTCTACAGCTCCTCAGTGAGAGATGAGATCAGTAAATTGATTGTAAGTATACTTGTGATGGGTGTTCCAAAAAGCTGTTTTCCAAAGTGACTAAGTACAGACCTTAAAAACAAGTTACTCCAACCCTTTATGTCTTCTGCAAAATCAGGCTGCCGCTGCACCCCCGCAGAGGAGAGCTTGTCCTCCCGTACTCTGCACAATAACAGGACTCCTCTGCTTTAACTTTTACAAGAAAAACTGCAGTTCCACTTAAAATGTGTATGGTTGATTTAGAGATTACTGAAAGGTTAAGTATCTAAATCCGGAAGAGATGAGCTCATACGTATATGTAATGGGGACCAAATCATTGTCTAACCAGACACGGACAAGAGCATCTTTGCATCCTGTTTCAAAGGAGACATGAGAGCTTCAGTCCCATTTTTGCCCTCTGTGCAACACCTTTGGAATCTGCTGTCTCTGTATCACACACCATGCTTTGTAGCCATTTCTTGGCACAAGTCTCCCGGAGGGCCATGTTGGGGATAACCCTTATTTCTCCCATCTGGCTTAGATGAAGACATCAATGCTGTGTGCATCTTGTGCTCCTGACAGAGCATGTGAGGGGGTCTCAGCCTGCTCCACAGTGACCAATCTAATATAGAATCATAAAATCCCATGCTGGGATTCTATGGGTTGGAAGGGACCTTAAAGCCCCCCCAGTGCCACCCCCTGCCCTGGGCAGGGACACCTCCCACCAGCCCAGGTTGCTCCAAGCCCCCTCCAACCTGGCCTTGAACCAGGGATGGGGCAGCTTCTCTGGGCAACCTGAGCCAGGGTCTCACCACCCTCACAGCAAAGAATTCCTTCCAAATATCTATATCTCCCCTCTTTCAGTTTAAAATCATTACCCTCCCTGATCAAGAGTCCCTCCCCAGCTTTCCTGTAGACCCCCTTTAGAGGCTTCAGATAAATATAAACACTGTGGTGTTAGCAGAACTGTGCCCTGGTTCAAAACCCTGTTGAAATCAGTGAAAAAATGACTGGTTTGGGGAGACTTTAGTCCAAAGTGTGGGTAGGAGCAGGAATTTGGATTTTGCCCTTCGGCATTCAGGCTGCTTGCTGCAAAGCCAAGCGAACAACAGCCACGGTGACAACTGACACATGCAAAGGAGCTCAAACAAGGCCCCTCCTATTCAACCTTCCCTGTGACAACACACACCAATCTGTTTGTCTAAAAATAATAAAAAAAAAAAAAAATCCCCTCCACATATCTGTGCAGAGCTCCAGCAACTGGCAGGGGCATTGCTGCCTGTGCAGTCCCTGGGGCGGCTGCGTGCATCACCCAACCGCACACGTGTGCTCCAGCTTCCCTCCTCTCCCATCTTTCTGCAGGCACTCAGAAACCAAGCTGCTCCCACCCAGCACTGCAGGAGCACATGCACTTCTCCCTTTGCAGAAGAGAGGGTTTCAACCGTCCTCATCCTCATGGCGTGCATGAGGATGCCGGAGCTCTGCAGCCATGAGGAGGGGGACTGGGGACCCTGTTCAGGGCACGTCTACTCTTTCACACACTTCTTCCCATCATGCTATAGCATCCCTGCTGTATATCCATTCCCTGGGTGCTATAGCATCCCCACTACATGTCCATTCCCTGCACGCTGCAGCACCCTTGCATGGCATCCCCGTTTTGAAGCCGGTTGCTTGGCTCCTGCCTTTGGGAGGAGAATAAAAGCGCCTCACCGAAGGAGGTGTCACAAGGCATAGCAGTGCAGAGCAGCCGATGCGAACAGACAGGACAGTAAACAAGAAAAAAAAAAAAAAAACAGGGGAGAAAGCAAAAACCACATTGCCTTAATGTTTTTTGATGTGCTGTCATTTTATTACCACTATTGAGAGATATATGTAAAATCTGCATGCTACCTATGAACTTCCCTTTAAATTTCAGAGTAAAAAGTACACATTGTAGGAAAAAATATACTGTAGAGTTTTACAGGAAGAGAACACTGTGCTTTTAGTTTTTCTTCACATTAATTACCTAATATAGAAAAATTATCTCTGGAGATTATTGCTACAAGTAGAACAACAACCCCCCCTATATTTGGCATGTCTGGCAAGTTCCTTCTGACGATGTCACTGAACCATTTTAGGAATGCTCTTTGATTTAATTGAACTCATTATAAACAGCATGATCGTAAGAAATAGGAAACAACAACCAGAAGGGGTGGGCCACAGTAGATTTTAAGCCTGTGCTGCCTTTTGCCAGGGCACTAACAGAGAGACAGCGATCTGGGATGCCTTTATCTCCCCCAGCACAGACACTGATGTTAAATCTTTTTCTAATAACTGACCCCAAAAACTGACCCCAAAGTCAAAGCACTGTCACTTCGTACTGCAAACGTGGGGGAACAGCCAGGACAAGGGAACGGGCTCTCAGCACTCACTGGGCTTTGACTGGAGACCTTACACCCTCGTTACTTGGATTTGCCAATTATTGCAAGACACTGTCTGAATAGTAATGCCCCCGATTGAATCGGGTTTGGAGCTGGTTAGAAATGGCCCATGTAAAGGACGCGTGAAGTGGCATTTGCCAGTTCTGGAAGGAGTCAGGCTTTTCTCACCGTTGCGGATCGATACGGGCGTAAGCTTCCCAGGCAGGGACTGTCTTTTTTGTTCTATGTTTGCACCATCCTAACAAGGGCTGGGCCTGTCGCTGGGGCTCCTGGAGCTTTGCGGCATGCACAGAAGCGATGCCGTTATTGTCTGCCCAGCCCTGTCCCTCTTGCAGTCAGTGGGAGCTTTGCCAACAGTTACCAGGGGAATCGTTAGGAAGCAATTCATGGAATTGGGAATGCCATGGCCATCAAAAGTAAAATGAGAAAGCGTCAGCTGTAACATCTGGCTGTTTCTCCTCGGGAAACGGGCGCTGCTCGCTGTGCGTGTCAGGCAGGGAGATGACACCCAGGAGGCCGCGTCGCTCCCAGCACCGCATCGGCAGAGCGGGCCAGATGGCGGCTTTATCCTTCCCATGGCAGCCTCTGGCCCCCACCCACTGTGGACATCCCCACGTCCCGACACCCACTCACCCTGCCGGGACTCCCCACGCACCTTTGCCTTTCCACAGGCCCCAGCTTTGGGACAATCCTGTTTTCCAAAGCAATATTCAGCATCTTATTTGCCCTTCTTAAAAAAAATCCCCTTTCTGTAACAATGGAACTCGCTCTGCCTTTCAGGAATGCCTGCCAGGTTTTGGCCCTTTGGTTTTCACAATCCAGACTTCTCTCTTCTTGTGCCGGTTTATTTTTCCTCAGCCTTTTTGTTCCCTCCTTCCCGCTTCCCTTTCAATTGCTGCTTAGTCTTACAGTGACCCGACTTTGAAAGCTGGCTTGTTTTAATTTTTTTTCAGGAATTTTACAGCCCATCCTGGTGAATGGACTGAAGCATACAGAATTTTAAATTACTCTACTTAGCTGTCAGGAGACTAAACACAAACATCTGAGACACACTTAATAAGATTTCTTCCTTAGAAATCTGAAAGGTTTCAATGTCCTTAATATTCAGCAAAACAAAAAGGGGTTATTAGCTCTGCTGGCTGGTAACATGAACGCTGCAGACTTCAAGAGCTATAATTTACTCACCAAGGAACAGATCCTGCTCAAGCCTTCCCAAAGGTTGTAGGGTTCATAGCCAGCTCATGAATCTTTCAGTGCCACTCCCTGCACCATGCTGGGTCTTGCTGTCAGAACGTGGTGGCATCAGGTAATGGCAGGCTGGACTTCCTAGGAGAAAGCTCAGATTTCAGCTACTCAGCTGAGAGTGTCTGTGCCATGTTGGCCACCTACCCATGGCCTCAGCTCCCAAAAACATGCCCAGAAATGCAGAATCATGATAATACCAGCAAAAGATGGTGGGGGGGAGAGGAGTTGAGACTTTATAATCTCCACATTTGTACCTGAGGAGGCATCTGAAATGATTGCTGCCTGTCTTGGTTTTCTACCTGTCTCCCCTCCAGGCATCGTCCGTGCCTCCAGTGTGTTCCCCATCCTAAGCACAATATTGCTGTTGCTGGGAGGACTCTGTGTTGGAGCAGGAAGGATTTACAACAGCAAAAACAATATTATTCTCAGCGCTGGTATTCTCTTTGTTGCAGCAGGTACGTTCTCCTCAAAGTGAGTCCTCAAGAAGTGTTGCCTTTTTGAACTGAAAAAGACTGTGGAAAAGCTTGTTGGCAGCTTTCTCCCTGGACCCTTTTCCTGCATCGAGGACACTAGAAACATCACAGTAGGCCAGTTTCTTAAGAAGGAGATTTTTGAAGCTCTACAATAAATTTATTCTAGAAAAGCTTTCAGTTTTCCTGAAAAAGGGAGCTAAAGTCAGTAACAGGCAGGTTTTACACTATTTAAAATGTATTAAACATTAGATGAATCAGGTGCCTCTTACATCCAGGGCCTTTTTATTTTTCTTTTATATGATGGCAGAAAAATTTCACCAATGATGGATGAGCCTGTTTTTCACGCTAGAAACATCTGAGAGAGTCAGTCACATTATTAAGAGCTTTCCCTGAAGCCCAGATTAAGCATGCTGCATTTAGATGAAAATTCAGCAAGGTGGAAGAGAACTTATCTTGATCAAGGTGAACAGCCATAGCCCTGAGCTCAAAACGTATTTTTATTATTATTCTGAATGTTAGAATCCCACTAACAATATTAGCAAGCTCCCATAAGCTACCTCTTTCCCACTGTGACAATGAAGAGATGGGGACAACTCCTGCTGAATATTTTGGGATCCATGCAACCCAGATGTGGGCCTATTCTTTGTTTTTCAAGAATAAATGAAATCTTGAGATAACTGAAAGAGTAAATAGATGTAATAAAATTTCCTGGTCATAATCCTTCAACCATTCAGGTCCAGAAAAGCAATGTGACTTGAATTTTCTCTTCCCAGCCATATAACCACTGATTTATGTTTTTTTCTCTCTAGGACTAAGTAATATCATAGGGATCATTGTCTACATATCAAGTAATGCAGGTGACCCAAGTGACAAGCGAGATGAGGACAAGAAGAACCATTACAACTATGGTTGGTCTTTTTATTTTGGAGCCTTGTCTTTTATCGTGGCCGAAACCATAGGTGTTCTGGCTGTGAACATTTATATTGAGAAGAACAAAGAGCTGAGGTTTAAGACCAAGAGGGAATTCCTTAAGACTTCTTCCAGTTCTCCTTATGCCAGGATGCCAAGTTATAGGTATAGGAGGCGGAGGTCCAGATCCAGTTCTCGATCTACAGAGCCTTCTCCATCTAGAGACATTTCTCCAGTTGGCATGAAGATAGCAAGCACCATTCCCATGAACGAAATTTCCATGTATACCCTTTCCAGAGAGCCTTTGAAGGTTACAACAGCTGCCAGCTACAACGCAGACCAAGAAGCCAGTTTTCTGCAGGTTCACAACTTCCTTCAGAAGGAATTTAAGGAAGGACTCCATGTCAACATGGTAAACAGGAGAACAACACCTGTTTGAAGTACCTTCCTTCCTCACACTTTTTGAAGAAATATTGAAACAGAATGGATCTGTCATGAAAGAGAAGGAGTGATGACAAAATACCCTCTCACCTCTTTAATTGTGGCGTGTGTGGAGATCCTCTGGACCAACATAAAGATATTACACGCTCGTAGCTTTTCCTGAAGCTATCTGAAGTTTGTTTCTTTCAGTTCTTGGTGTCATGAGATGAAGGCGATTCATGTTCCTGCACTTCTGTAGTGTGTACAAAGCCTTGGAGAAACTGCAAAGGAGTTGTCACCTGTGTGTTTTAAAGGATTACAGAAAAAATTGTCGTACAATTTTTTTTTTTCTAAAATTGAGATCCCTTAATACAAACTCGCAAATATAATTTATAACCAAGCCCAAGGATGAATACAAACTACTCATCAAGTGAGCCACCTTCCTTTGACACAGCATAAGCTTTGCCTCTTTCAAAAAAAAAAAAAAGAAAAAAAAAGAAAAAAAAAAAAAAAAAAAGAAAAAAAAAGAAAAAAAAAAAAAAAAAAAGAAAAAAAAAGAAAAAAAAAAAAAAAAAAAGAAAAAAAAAGAAAAAAAAAAAAAAAAAAAGAAAAAAAAAGAAAAAAAAAAAAAAAAAAAGAAAAAAAAAGAAAAAAAAAAAAAAAAAAAGAAAAAAAAAGAAAAAAAAAAAAAAAAAAAGAAAAAAAAAGAAAAAAAAAAAAAAAAAAAGAAAAAAAAGAAAATATTTTTGAAGGCAACACTTTCTAAAACTGATCCGTGCTACTGAAACTGTAGAGCACCCACGGGCTGAGAATTACAGACTCCCTGATGGGGTGGTAAGGGGGTCTCCCACTTCTGGGTGTAAGGCGTCCCTCCGGGCAATGCAGGTGCGGGGAGAAGAGGGTGAGTGCATCTCGAAACACCTGGAAAGGGAAGGATTAAAGTAAGTGGGACTTGAGCATATTTGCAAATATAATTTCTTGCCTAACATTTAGAAAACTTGAATTCTCATTTCGACTAGCCCTAGTGCCTGATCCGGCAAGGTGCTGAGTGCTGTCTGTCAGGAGCCCCTATAGACTACGTATAGCAAGAGCGAGCAGCAGAGCTGAGCCAGGGTGGCCGAGCCGCCGGTTCCCTGGGACTGCATTCCTGTTTTCCTTACTACTTCACAAGTGCAACACTAACGCTACTGGAAACTAAGATATCCAAGCAACGTGCGTAAGAAAATGAGAAGCTAATACGTTTGGACTAGCAAAACTTCCTGCAGCTATGGGAACTGAGTGTTAACAGAACGGATGACAACTTTGTATTTTTTAAAACAGAACAAAAATAATCACCGTTTATGAGATATTTATTAAACTCTTTTTATTATGAATAAGTGCCGCATGGTGCAAGGTATAGTTGCTTTTAGATGGAAATGGTGGTTCGACCTAATTTATTTTGTAATGGTGAATCTACTTGCGTGCAGAGAGCCCACAGGAAACTCTATGCATCACCTAAGGGGGGAACTAATTTGTACCCTTTGCTTTTTCTGTATGTTTCTAAAAAAGTCTGAAATATTTTTTTTTTCTTTTCAATTCCTGCTTTCATTTTTTACACTTAGGCTTGGAATCTCAAAGCTTGAGGGCCTGACTCAAAGGTAATTTAGTTTAGTAGTATTCATGTTGATTTTAGTGACTGCTCGACCAAGCCATATGAGAATGAGGTGCCCCATTCCCCCTGGATGAATTAGGTGCAGTGAGAGAGGAGCATCTAATTCCTGTAGATTGCTTTGGATATACCTGTCGTCTTTGCCCAGAAAATCTCTGCTACCAGAAGACTAGAGAAGTGCTGACAAGAGAAAAGTCATGATTTGGAAATCTCGGGTCACTGATGGTGGGAGATTTCAGCCAAACTGTTAAAACCTCTTTAGTCTTAATTTATGCTGTGATGGCCACAGCGTCAGTGGCTCAGTGGTGGTTTGGATACAAGGATTTCAGCTAGTGGAACCAAGTCTCCAGGAAAACCCTGGAGGAGCTGCCTTAACTTCCCAAAAAACAAATTGAACCCCCTCTTCCCCCCACCCAAATAAACCCCGCCTAAGCCTCTCTCCTTGCAAGAACCAAGACACAATTCTCATTTTTAAGCAAAAGTCTTCCCCTAGTCACTGTTAAGCTCTGCTTTGCCCTCAGCCTGGCAGAGCAGCATCATTATTTTGGCGGAGGTGGGTTGGAGCCTTCATCCCTGCTTATTAAGAGTTTCCATTCAGGTTAAAACTCTGCTGGGATCCTTTTTCAAACTTCTGAACTCTGAGAGCTAAAGCGGATGGAGTGATGGGAACGATTTTAAAGTAGAAAATGTTGTGCTACTTTCTGTATCAACACACTATGGAGAAAGATATAACACAAGCTTTTTAAAAAAATTCAAACAGAGGCAGATAAGAAAACTTTTTTACCTACTTTTCGGCTAGGACAACATAAAAGAGTTCTAAAATTATTAAAGTTCTTAATGAAAGGTTTTTTTTACAAGAATCTTTATGCTTTCAAACAATAAATTATTTCCTACTTTTTGAGACTTCGTAATATTAAAATCTTTGATTAGCTATGATAGAAGTAGAAGTTTGCAATGAAGAAAAAACCTTCTGTCTCATTAGTGTGTCATACTAAGTGCTAATTAATTTACATCTAATTATAGTCGATGTATTTTTCAAGTGCAATTTCCCAAAACTATTTGTTTCCCACTGTGTTAATAAACTAATAGTTAGAAATAAGTCCTCATCCATGTTTACTGTAATTAAGAATAAAACCATTCCCTTTAAAACCAGGAGTTAGATATAGGCTGTTTTTCTAAACTCATGTACATTGAACTGGAAGTTGACAGTGTGAGGTTTGCTTTGCGTGTTAGTTTTGTTCTTTTAATCGTCCTGCTCCAGTGAATGTGTTTAAAACCAACCATCTGGTTCCAGCCGAAGTCCAAAGCTTTTCTAGAGCCCAGACCATACCTTCAGAAGCATGTGCAGTATTTTTACACCACATCAGCAAAAACAGTCTTGCCAAGCATTTCGAGGTGTTCTTTTCTTTTTCCAGAGCCTCCTCCCCCTGAGCAGGGCTGGTTTCAGCAGCTCTGAGCGCGATGCCCTGCTTCGCTCTGAGCCAGATCATCTGCTCCTTCTCCAGCAGGGACCTCAGAAGAGTGGAGCTGGACGGGGCGGTGTTCATGGGATGCTCACGGGATATGGGGTCTGGGCAGGGAACAAAGAGAAAGGGAGATAAAAGGGACCAGAAATTTCTTCCTGTAGAACAGGGGCTGCAATTGAAAACTCATGGTCTATGTCAAATGTCAGAGCAGTAATTCGTTCAACCAAAGCAGAAAAAATGTGGTTTCAGTTTAAAATTTCAGTTTAAAAAAATCCTCCAAAAATCAATCTTTTCCTGTGGAAAACTTTGATTCTGACAAAACTGAAAAATTTGCAGCATTCCTGCCCATGAACAGTGTCTTGCTCCGTGGCTGATCTGTCTGAACAGAATCAGATTGTGCTTGGACTTTGAAACCACTCAGTAACAGTTAAAAAAAATAAAATCATCTGTTCTTCCACATCTCTCTGGTTTCCCTGGACAGCACTGAAAAAAAAATTAGCCCCCATTTCTTAATAAGACCTGCAGATATCATCATCATATCATTAACAATAATCAGTCTTTTGGTATTATCCTATAACATACTGTAATAGCAGACCTGGAAAAAAAAAGGCTATTGAATCAGATTTGATTTTCTGAGAAACAGTTTCAGGTATATTGTCAGTGCTCTCTTCCTAGTTTCTCATACACAATAGGAGTAAAATGAGAAATCACTTCATATGTCCGTACATCTAACAATAAACTATTTTTATATTTCCTTTCCTTTCTGTATGGATCAGATATCCACAAGGGCTAATATATCATGTCCCTTGAGGTTACATTTCTGTCTGCAGTTCTAAAGTGTTATTTCCACTGTGCTTCAGTTCTACTGGTATAATCACAACCATGTATAATGTACTTAATCCTTGCTTTTTAAATAAACCATTTTAAATGTATTAATTTTTGTGTGGAGAAAGGTATATAGATTTTTAACTTCCAGATTCTCTGAGCTGAGATGTCTGTGTTTATTCTTACACGTTTCTACCTCTTTTGATTGCAGCTGGGGATGTTAGCGGAAGACAATATATCAGAGAAAAAATAAATATTCTTGTGGTGCCACAGACCACAAAATCTCCAAGATATGCTCCCCTCACAACATTTCCAGGCACTTAGGTAGGAAACTAAGAAAAACCTTCTATTTTCCAGCTTGAACTTGGCCCATATGAGACGTGCTCTGGTTTAGGTGCCCGGCTTGAGGCTGGTATGTTGGCCAGAGGCACTGCAAGTCACCATCAACACAAATAAGCCAGTGTCTTCTGAAGTCCTAGCCCCGAGCCTGTGCTTTGCCTCCACCTTTAGAGGTTTCATGTGAATTTGCTTCAGAGCAACCTCCTCTCCCTGGTCTTGTCAGTTTTGCCTGAAGAAAGCTCGACCCCCACATGCCAAAGCTCCACGAAAGCATTTTTCTAATCACCACCATGAAATCTCAGCCTACAAGTGGCACCGAACACGGGTCAGCAGCTCAGCAGCCTCTCCCAAACCGTCCCTGGATCAGAGACAATATTTCTTCTTCAAATACCTCCTTTAACTTTACCTTCCTGGTTCCTAATCCTCCAGATTGTCTTTAAAGATGAAGGCTGCCCACGTATCGCTGCCTGCCTGCCTCTCCCCATATGAACGATCAATTGGCACGTCTGGGGGGAGGCAGGAGATTCATCTTTTCAAATGCCTCTGACACCCAGCAGCAAAGCCATTTAAAGCTCAAGCCCAAAGCTGGTTCCCTTGAACTAAAGTAAATAAAGGCTCTTCCCGCATTGCCGAGCAATTCTGTGGGTAAATAGCCACAGTCTGTGGCTGCCCTGCTGAGAACAGGGATGTATCAAGAAGTGATGTTGTTTGAGGGGGAAGCAAAGACAGAGCCTTTAAGGCCTCAGAATGTGGAAAAAAAGTCCAGCAAGGAGGATGTGGCATTTCCTTGGAATAAGAAAACTAACAAACTCAGGAGGTGCCAAAAATAAAAGGGAATGAGGAGTGCTCTGCACCTGTCTGTGAAACAGCTCGTCTTACAGCCCCGCCTGGCTTCACCAGAGTTGGAGGGATCACTTACCCAAATGGCACCCGGAGGGTATTTTAGGAGACCGAAGCCTGGGCCGGGCTGTGGGGCAGAGGGGGCAGCCAGTCCTGCCTGTGCTGTGGGGGCTGCGCAGAGGCCGGGTTGTGGCCAGCGGTGTGGGGTCAAATCTCCTTCTTCATGCCCATGGGAGTCTATTAAAAAAAAAAAATATTAAAAACCAGACAAAACACACACACATTTTCCTCTTGGCTTCCCAGAGCTAGGGGGCTTTTGGAGGGTGCCGTTGGCTGGTACCACCTGTGCAGAGCCAACCAGGACCACGGTGGTCCCACCACAGTGGGGCAATGCAGGGTCAGGAGCTCAAATATTGCCAAGGAGCTCTTATTTGAAGAAAGCTGTTTACTGAAAAGGCATTTTAGCTGAGAGCAGACCAGGTCCCGCCATCTACGCCCTGAGTTGTTCTCACCTGGGAAGGGTTTTCTGCAAACATCATTCTACAAGAAGGGAACGGCAGAATTTGTTTAATCTGGTTGCGGTAAATACTGAGGCTGGTCTGGAAGAAGCACAGAAATGTGCAAGTGATGGGGAGCAGAGCTAGGCCAACACCTCTGCTAGGGAAAAAAATAATGCAGTAGTTAGTCTTGAGACATCTCCTTTAGCATTTTCTCCAATAGAGAAACATAATTTTGTCTCTCACTCACCGCTGCTAAAGTGCAACTAATTACAACCCTCCCTGCTTCCCAACAGGTCCTCATTAATAGTCTGATTATATTTCATGTGATATTGATTTTTAAATGTGAATACTTGCCAACTCACACAGGGACACTCCAGGAACTGTCCCTAGAGGATTAGGTATCACGGTCTTCTGGATGTGCAGAAAATTTTGGAGGTTTCCCGTAGTCCTTTGCTCCTCCAGAAATCAGTTTTGCTTCTGCATGTCAGATGCCAACCTGACCCATGGATCCCACCACCTCCAGGCTGGGACAGAAGTTGTTTCCTGGGTGTTATTAGGAAACTCCAAACGAAACCGAACCCTGAGGGACTTATCCAGATCAGAGAACCTATATGAGAATAAAAAGCATGATTGTTGCCAATACTGGAAGAGACACAAAGACCAACACAAAAATTAATGAGTTTTCCCACCCCTGCAGTCTCCTTGTAGGTTGCAATTAGTCTAAAGCATGACCATTAGCACTTGCTTCCTCAGCAACCAGAACCTTGCTTTGTGCCATATTTGCAAACCCATTCACTTTCTTACAGTCGATTTTCAGTGACCTGTGGAGTTTGTAGCGTCAAGGAAGCAAAGTCAGGATGCAGTTCCTAAGATCAACTGATGTCTAATAGACATCTAGTCTCTTGTTAGAGACTACCTCCAAAGAAAAGGCATTACATTTTTAATGCATTCCTTTTCTGGTTTAAGGTCTGTTCCCTTTGGGCTTTTCCACTTACATGAGAACTCTTGGTTCTGGTTTAAATTTAAGCCTCTAATATTTCTCCCAGCCCCAACCTGGCAGATCACAGTCCTATTCAGGGCTGTGAGCATCTTCCTATAGATGTGCCTGTGGTCTCTGGTACCTGCCTTGCCCCATGTCCCTGGGGCCCTCCCTGGTCCCTTTCCCCTCTGATTTTGCACCACGTACCTTTGCTCCTTCCCACGGCTCCCACCGGCCCAGCAAGACCAGGGCACCAGATGCTGTACCAGGTTCAGACGTGTCACCCTGCTCCCCAGGGGTGTCCAAGCCAGCCCTGTCACACATCAAGCAAAGCAACGTTAACCCCTTTAAGTCATAGTTCAATTACAGTTATTTTGGATCAATATTTTTTGACATTCTTAATTTTCTCTCCCTTTCCCACAGTCCCCTTTCACCTTAACTCCTCGCTTCAGATTGTCCTCGTTAATTTAAGCTGACACCTCTGCACCTTTATTTTGACATCAAATTGGGGTGTTCATAAAACAGGACTGGAGTAACTTTGACATTATATCTCGACATGATAACATGGCATTTGCAGCTTTCCACTGGCATTTTTTTTAACCATTCTTTTGACATTCAGGTACTGTCACCCTCCTCAGTTTGACATCGCAATTGTAATGGCATCACCATGGTGGCCTCTGCATTGACATTATCATCAAATTAGCTTTATGATCAGCTGAAATACCAAAGGGAACGAGAGAGGTTGGCCCAGCCCTGGCAATCTGGGTTCAGGGTGGCAGAAGTCACTTCCAACAGAAGGGACAGCTCTGCCGGGTGGCTGCTGGAGTTACTGCCCACCACGGAGAAATCCCGGGCGATGCACTTGAGAGGTTTTGCACTCAAAAAGAAGACTACTCAGAATACTTTAGGTTAATTAAAAATAATCACAATAAAAATAAACAATAAAATAAGTAAGTTTGCTTATTTTGCCACTTTTTTTAGGCTGCAGTGCTCAGCTCTGAGGGCCATCCAGCTCCCAGCTCCGAGCAGAGGCAGCCGCCAGCCGGAGGCGTGGGCAGGCGGCGCGTGGGCTGCGGGGCCATTAAACTGTTTAGGATAAGACTGAACGCAGCCCCAACGCTATTATAAACACAGATGTTTTTATAACCTCGCTGAAAAGTTAATCGGCCTATTAATGCCTATTTCTGGGCATGCTGCAAGTCAAGGGATTACAGCCCTCGAGCGGCGGCTGTAGCAGCTCCCAGTGCCCGCCCGGCCCGTGGGAATCCCAAACAAACCGTCGGGACGGGGGGAAAGCTGAGCTCGGCCGGGCGCCGCGCTCGCTATGTGCAGCAATAGGCTCCTCGCTGTGGCGGCTGACACAGCCCAGCAGCTGCCTGCGGCCGCCCTGCTCCCCCAGCACTGACATTTGCCAAGGGCTCAGATGCGCCAGGATTTCGGGAGCCATCACGAATCACCCGCCGCACTGCGCTGGGAACACCGGGCCGGAGCGGGATGGACGACACCAAACCCCTGAAGGTCCGGCTGACGTTCTCTGTGATCCTGGTTGGCATCTCCCTCCTGTTTGCAGCCGTAGTGACTGACCACTGGGCCGTGCTCAGCCCCAAGGTGGAGAAATATAACGCCACCTGCGAAGCAGCTCATTTCGGGCTATGGCGACTCTGTACAAAGAGGATTTTTATGCAGGAGCAAGGTCCCAAAGAGAAGGGCTGTGGGCCGATTACCCTGCCAGGAGGTAGGTGACCACCCAACAATGCATGGGAGAAAGCACCAGGCGGTCATGCCAGGCTTTGCTTAGGAGGTTGCAGGACATGGCAGGAGGAAGATAGGGTCTGTGTTCCCATGGCAGTTAGTTCGGCATGGGGCTGCATGGGGCTGTTTCCATGTTGGTCTGCAAACACTCGTTCTCACCCCTCTGGCCGTCAGCGCGCGCCGTGTTGCTTCGTGCGTCTCTTTGTGACCATATTTGAGTCTCCTGAGCAGCAGCGACAGTGGCGGGCAGAAGGGGAGGAGGATCGGGCATGGTGGAAATCACAGAGGGAGACTGGAACAGAGGGAATTGTGCTGATATCAGCCCAGGGTCCTGCAGCACCCGGGCACACCGATGGCAGCGAGCACAAGAGAGGATTTATGGACCCACCATATGTAGCCTGATCTTTAGGATTTCGGGATCCATACAGCTACAACGGAACAGCCTCTTCATGGCTGGCATTAGGTTATCTCCGGGCTATTGCAATAACAACTGTTCCTCAAAGCAAGGAGGAACAGGGACCTGCAGTAGGTTTTGCCAGCTTCCAAAAACAAGTCATAAACTGAGTTCGAGGCAATTTCTCAATGACTCACTGAGCCTCCTCACCTCTCGGCGGAGGCAGCCCGGTCCCACACACATCTCCATCACAGGTTCCTGCAGCGCAGTCGGCAGGAGGGCGGCGGGGGGAGTGGGCACAGCTGCTGTCTGGGAAGAATGTTCCATTCCCATGGTAAAAGGGAGCAAAGTCAGCAACATTGGTGCTGCATGCACTAATACACCCCATCCGTGACCAAGCTACGCTGCTTTTTTAGATGGCTCAGAGAGTACTGGATGCTTTCCAGAACAGAAATAACAGGATTGCCTTCATGTTAGGCTCGCTGCTTGAAATGAAATATGTATGTTAACACATCTTTGAAAATTTCCTGTGAAAAATCTTGCTGCCAGGGCTTACTGTATTTTCCCTGTATTACTGCAATTCTTTAGCTCTTTGGCCAAATTGCACATTCTGAAGAGAGGAGCTTAGCCTCAACATTTGGATCTGCCTCTAACCAAATTTGGGAGTGTGTCATCCATATGCTTAATGTCTCTCGCAAAGGTACTTACGTGCCTAGAAACATATTCCTCACTGTACGCCTTTCCTCACACACGGAGGAGAACTCCCACAAAAGGAAAAACAATAGAAATTGGTGGATAAACACCAAAATTGCACAACTGTGGGGTAAATATAAAACTCATAAATATCCAGCTGTCTGCAAAAAGCAGATTCGCAGCCATGAAAGCAGCCACTGTCTTTGACAGACATCAGCATGTGCTTGCACAGGCGTTGAGTCGCGTCTTAGCGCTGCCGTTCTGTGGGGCACAGCAAAGAACCCGGCAACAGCACAGGGGCTGAGCCTCCCACCTCACCCTGGAGCTGGTTTTCCAGTTTTTAAAGATATCTGGGAATTTGGATGACATCCTGTGTCGTAATCAGCATCCGACATTTCAAAGGGCGAAATTCACACCTCAAATATAATATAAATATTTTAATCCCTGTTTTACTCACATGGGGAACACAGCAAGGGGAGGAGGGGGAAGTGCAGCCCCTGTGGATCCGAGCTGCTGAACGATGCTGCAGCCACATGGCTCGCATTGGATTGATTTCACACTTCTGGGAAGAGACATCAGCAGGGAAACACCGGGGTTGTGAAACCTGCAGCAGTCAGGGAAATGTGAATGAACAAACCTGCAGTAAAAGAGCAGATGTGGGCACTGATTTTCCTGAAAATCATGAGACATAATCAGACATTACTGCCAGGACTGGAAAAGAAACATAAGAATGTATCACTGCATTAATAACCATTTACCAGTCACTCCCTGAGGAGGAAATGGATGGCGTGATTAACATTATTTATTAGGTTTTGAGCTCAGCACAGTGCAAAATGGGGAGGATGACTTGGCTTGCATTCTGCAAAGCAGGGCTGTCATTTAGGCAGAGCTTTAAAATTTTACAGCACTCTTCCAAGGATGTTGACAAATTGGAAAGAGTTCAGCATCCTGCTGTAAGAACTAGAAAGATCAGGGAGATAGCTGTTAAAAGCAGGTAAATTCAGTTTAATACTGACACATTTTTAACCGTGATCAGTGTATACCAGCTGTAAATGGAGTTCCCCTTTGCTGCCAGTGTCTCCAGGGTAGGTGATGTCCTACAAGGTGGGCTCTTGTGTGCCTGCACACGGGGCAGCAGCAGAGGGGATACTCTACAGGCTGTGTGTCCTGCGAGCAGGTTAAATAGGTCCTTGCAAACATGGGAACCTGAGCTCAGGCAGCTGGAGAGGGGAAGTGCTGGAGCAAATGGGTGATCAGCAGGGCTATCTCATTCCCCATGTCCATATAAGAGACTCACTCTACGAGACTGGTATGAAATGAAACTATTTGGAGTTACCATTTCCAAAACTCAGTGTGTGTCAAAAGCCTTCCCCTGGCTTGTAGGGCAAGGTTTGACCCCGTCTCCACCACTCAGTCTTCACCTTAACACCTCCTCTAATCACAGCAGCAGGTCCTGTCTCCCAAACTTAACACAAGTGGAAACCTCAGATAAAAATAATTTTTTTTTTATCATCCAGGAATGGTGGATCTGAAGGGAAGGGACCAGGAGGACAGTAAGGCTGGGTGACCTGGAAGGGGCAGGACACTGGGTGATAAACCACATGTTACAGCCCTGAAGTTCACATGAACCTTAATGACCACAGAGCCCCTGGGTTCTTCCCATCAGCACTTTGAGGTGACCTCATGGCAGAGATAATGCAATCAGGGGTGGAGAGAAACAAAGATTGCCACACAGTTTTCAACCATTATAAAACCCATTTTAAATCCTATCCATTATGTAAATGTGGTGTGACACAAATGGGCTTTTCTCTTATTCATGGTGGCACCAAAGAGGCGTTGAAGTGCCTCAGTTCTCTCAAACAACAGAGAGCCTTGTTGAAACAGATATTCCCAGCTCAGCAGAGCACCAAAGCATCTTTAAACTGAAAGCAATATATTTTTTCACCAAAACCAATCTAGTTGTATTTTCCCACAGTAAGTGCATTTTCCAAAAACACCTCCCCCAGACCTAACCCACTTCTGTGATAACCCCATTTATCACACCTTGGCAGAGCTTTGCTATGAGCCACAAGACACAGAGGCAGCTCCTTTTCCTGCAGACAAATCCAAGTCCATCTCTACAAGAAGACTTTGTGTGGTTCCACTCCGCTGAGCTGTCACGGGCTGCAGGGTGGTCTGGGCTGATCTGGTTCACCTGCAATGGACACAGAGCTGTGCTGTGTCCTCCATCACACCACATCTGGATGGCTTCACCTTGGGCATTGCACAGTCAGCACATCTGGGGACTCTTTTCAGTTCAGCCTTGGAGGATTAATTAAAAGCCGAACCAAATAACCCACTTTGGTGTCCCAGTTTCATCCCATCTCCCTCCCCTTTAGCACAGGAGCCAAAGGATCCCAAAACTGAATGCTCAGGCTCAGCCACCGCTCCGTCGCTGGCAGGGGTGTGCAACCGCCACTCTGGGGCTCCAAATTTGCAGCTTCAGTCATAGAGGTCCGAGTTCAAATATGTTCCCTCTAGTCGTTTGCAGGGATAATAAAGAACAGGTCAGGAGACGCCAGAGCTGAACATTAACCTAGTCTCCAGCAAGGAGAAGCTGGAGATGAAATAAAAGTCAGCTTATAATATAAAGTAGATAAGAGCGTCTCAAAGGAATCTTCCACTAATGGGCCCAAAAATGATGCTTTAAAATTGCCTATCTCCTGGGAGAGAGAAAATAAATCCTCCTTGAATCAGTAACTCCAAAATCTGCTATGTACATGACAGAAAAAAACCAAGAAGCAGCAACAGGTAACGCACAATATGCTGGTGCCTTCTTGCCACTAGAAATTAATGCTATAAATAACCGCCTACATGCAGCATGTGCCCCCATGTCCTGCACCTGGGACCTGGCTCAGGCTCTGCCCCGTGGTCACGGTCTGTGCTGGAGCAGCCTGTCCCAGCCTGGGCGTAAGAGAGGACCTCAAAGTCCTCCCACACTTACTTACTCCCAGCATCTCCTGGAAACTGGTACTAACTCCGGTATTTAATGGACAAGAGACGTTGGTGTTACTTACCCAAGTGGCCCCTCGCTGCAGGGGGTGCCTGCATTTCGTGCCATCTTGGCCCCATGTCCCAGTGAGATGGGACCCCAGCCTAGGGAGCAGGAGGGGCACTGGGGCAGGCGCTGAGCGTGTCCCCTCCAGCCCCGCTCAGCAGAATGGTGCAATCAGAGCTGGCGCCGCTCAACGCGTCTCCACGATTGCACTCTTCCAAGCCAAATTCCTGGCGAGCAACTGTTCTCCCAGCTCCGCTCCCCTGCAAACCTTCAATTAAATCAGTTATAAATAGCAAGAACACCCTCTATCCTAACCCTGCTGCCACCAAACCTTTGAGTCAGCAAGTCCTCACCAGCCTCTTGCCCACCCTGCTGAGGCTGGAAGGCCTGGGGATCCATCTCCTCGTTGGCTGACTCGCCTGAGGCTGAGGATGAAGCATATTGTGGCCATTGAAAGATACAGCTGCCAACTTCCCTCCTCCAAGTTCAGTCTATAACCCCTCTATAAACATCCCACGTATCTGGCAGCCTGCTCACGTGAAGTCCAGATGGAGGAACTTCATAAAGTTCCTATTCTCTAACTCTGCTGTCTTACCAAATTAACTCAGTAGGCTGCTGTGATGGGAGTGAACTTTGGTTGAGCCAGGTTGCACGAGAGCCTCTTTGCTCTTGACTTGTAGGGCTTTGATCAGCCTTCCCTTCCCTGGACAATGCGGCTTCAGACAGCTTCCCTCTTTTTACTGGCAGCCAAAAAAGAGCCCTTGGTGTCCCTGTTGCAGTAAAACACCATGTGCTTTCCTGCATTGCAGCAGCCTCATCTCTGGGACCAAAGATGGATGGCCAAAGACAGAATGGGAAAAATTATCTGTAATTCATGTTTTAAATAGATGAGCAATCAGTGTGGAAAGCTCTCAGAGGGAGCAGCCGAGAAAAGGTATCAGAGGGGGCATGTCCATGCTGGACCCAGTAGCCTGGCATGTGCATACCACTCATCTGCTCCCAAATAAAACAGATCCAACTCCAATTTCTCTGGGCTACCAAGGGCGAGGTTCTTTAAAGACCTTGTAAGTTTGATACATCAGTACAAAGCAGATTCAGTTTTACTATGTTATACCAGAGATTTCCAAGCAGACTACATTTCCTTTTCTCTTTCAGAACACAACTGCTCCTACTTCAAGCACTTCACACCAGGACAGAGCTCAGAGATATTTGAAGTAACCACCCAGAAAGGTAAGAATGATCCTCAAGAGTATTTTCCTAACTGAGATGCACACAAAATTGAAAGTAAAGGGGTCCCCAAAGTGAGGGTTCAGTCCTGGTTCCACTGAAGGCAGTAGAGGAATTTCTATCAGATATTGCCAGCTGGGAAAAACGTAAAAAAAAAAATGCTCTGAACAAGGTCAAATGACAACTTCCTGGGAAGAATAATTTTTATATATGATCACACCCGTAAGTGTGATTTTATTCAAAGTTGTCCCACAAATATATAACAATGTCAATACATAAGAAAACTGCAAAAATTCTTTTCAGCATAAAAATGACTTTACAACGTTGGCACTACCCATGACACTCTGAGCCTTTACCATCGAAGGAAGAAGACATTAATAAAATCTAAATGAATAAATCATACCCCAAGCAGAGTCTTGACCCTGAAAAGAAGTACAGAGACTCTGTGAAGACCATTAGGAATTTTATGCTTCATATTGATTTTATATGAAAGTCATGTAAAAGCCAGAGCAATTAATGGAAGGAAGGAACAGAGACCCTACGAAGACACACAGGGTCCGTGTTTACAGAGCATGGATTTTGAAAACAGTCTCTCACAGACAAATTTCACATTTCTAATAAGTCCCTGATAAAGCCAAATATTTTTAGCACTCATCTAATGTGCTCCTCTCTCTTCCTCGCCCTCTCATTAAGGTCAAATTCCTTTCTTGTTTGCCACACAACGTGTTTTGCTGTGGAGTAAATGAGCTGATGATTACATTACACATATTAAACAATCTGCTTTGCTTCCACTGGAAATGGTAATGGTGGAAAACCCTGCAGACAGGTTTTCTAGAAGAGCAGTTTCCTAAGACAAGGAAGATTGGGAATTGTAAGTGAATAGAAGAGCATATGTGTGAGCTACCTGCTGTTGCTCATTTATATACTATCAGATCCAGTCATCTGGTCTTAAAAAGGCACCCAATGCCACCTTAGTCATTTTGGAAAAAAAAAATCAAGAAGAACTTCTTTTCTTTGAAGTAAAAGAAAAAGTTTAAGCCCTGGCAAAAGATTTTACATTGAAACAAATTCTTTCAGGCAGTTCCAGCACATAGTAAAGAGAAACATTAAGGAAATTATAATAAAACAGTGATATGAAAAGCAATGAGAACAAGGAGTGATCTGCTGCTCCCTTCTGCAGAAATAGCTACGATTTGATGGGAGCTAATTAGTAACAGGCAAAAAAATTCTTCATAATTTTGCCTGGGAGATATTTTTTTAATGGCTTGAAAGGCAAATATCATCAGGCACTGTGATGTTCATGCATGGCTACATGTGTTAAATATTAAACTAATCTGAAAACAAATGCAATATGTAAATGAAGGCCTGAATTATTCAATTAGCAATTCTTCCCCTCCATTCAGGCACTGATGTGTGCTTTGGCTGGGGGAAGCGTCCAGCGCACATCGTGGCTGCCTTAGCAAAACCCAGGACATTCTATGGAGGGTTTAACTCTTTGCCCTGAAGAAGGTGGATTTTCACAGAGCTGGAAATCATTCTCTTAAAGGGACAAAAAAAAAAAAAAAAAAAAAGGTGCTGTGCAAACACTTCACCTCTGGCCTCCTGCCCGACTCTGGGCCCTGTGGAACTGCCTCTCTGCGTCGGTCCAACATCGGCACCACGCACGGGGCCTTGTCAGGGCTCCGCAATACGACAGGGAATAAAAATAGCACCAAGCTGTCTGCGTACGCTGAGAGCAGAGCGCGGAGCAATGGACAAAATGCCGGAGTGGAGCCCAGTAGGGCTTCAGCAGCAACATCTACGCAGCAGAGCTAAAAGGGCTCAGGCCCAGAGCTCCATCTGACCAACACAGGAGCTGTTGGCTCTTCCAGTAGGTGTTTGGAGCTCGCTTCCCCCTCCTGCTCCTTTCTCATACCCCTTCCATTCTGAAGATACATGGCCAACACCTGCCCCTGCTTTTATCGGAGGGAAATACTCAGTTTATGAGAGCTACATGCAGGGCCATACGTATTTCTTGGCCTGACCTACTGCAAAGTCACCACAGCTGATGAGAGCATACTCAAAATTTGCATACATTTGCATTTTTCGGTGTTTTGTTTTGCTTTGGCAGAATACAGCATTTCAGCTGCAGCCATTGCCATCTTCAGCGTTGGCTTTGCAATCATCGGAACAGTCTGCGTCCTCTTATCCTTTGGGAAGAAGAGGGATTATCTGCTGAAGCCAGCATCCATGTTCTACACCTTCGCAGGTAGGAGGCTCAGAGCTCCTGTACTTGCACCCAGTTCACAGCTCAACGTAGAGAATCTTAGATAGATCCTGGCAGGATGGAGACATTTCTAAAAATGCCATTTTCAAATGGCATTTTCTTCCCGGCTATCATCAGGCTGCAAGTCCCCGGGTGGTGCTCCAGCTGAGGAGCTCTAAAAATACCCAGTTCAGCAAGCATCACGCAGCAGCTTCTCTGTATTTTCTCCAGCCACCTTTAGAAGGGGCATTTCTAGCACAGTCTGTGCTGGCCCCAATCTAAACCGGGGATATACACTGTTTTATCTCATTTGTTAAGACTCAAACCAAGGAAACAGCAGATCCAGGCCCAAAACACACAGCTGTCTCCCAGAAACATGAAGATGGCATTTCTACATGAGGTAGTAACACCCTGACATGCCACAATGACTGAAAGACAGCGGTGCTAACTGTCACCTCAATAAAAATCTTACTCAACCTTTGGGAAAGCTCCCTTGGGAATGTAATTATTCCTCCACCACTTTGAGTTTCCCATCCAAGCCTGCCTAAAGGTCACACAAGTCACCAGCTGAGTTGGACAGCCTGGCTTACAGCAGAGCTCTCGGCAGCTGTGAGCATTGGTTCCTTCAAACATTGAAGTCAATGACTCACTTGTGAATCTCCCTGCAATCCCTGTATGCAAAAAGACAGATGAGGTGGTTAACTGATGAAAAATTGACAGCTGGTTATTCAACTCACCGCTCGTATCTTCCTTCAGGTCTCTGCATCATCATCTCTGTTGAAGTCATGAGACAGTCGGTGAAAAGGATGATCGACAGCAAGGAGACAGTCTGGATGGAGTACAGCTACTCCTGGTCCTTCGCCTGTGCCTGCTCCTCCTTCGTCCTGCTCTTCATCTGTGGCATTGCCCTCCTCCTGATCGCGCTGCCTCGCTTCCCCCAGAACCCCTGGGAGACCTGCATGGATGCCGAACCGGAGCACTGATGTTCCCAGCACCCATGAAGAAAACCAGAAAGTGTTTTGAAAAGATTTGTGTTTTTCAAAATGTCTGGGTCTCATTATACAATGTGCACTCCATTAACTAAGCCCTTACTGAACCAAGGCACATTCAATTGTAATTATTGCTTTGTTTCTTCTTTTTTTTTAAGGAAGCAGGAAGGTGCGGGTGAATGGCACTGCTCTGTGCCAACCTGGGGATGCCTTGGTCTGATGAAGTTGGGAGGAAACCTAGGGACGAGACAGCTCATGCCACAGAGAAGACAGCTTTTTTAGGGAGAAGATATTTGGTGTCCTTGGGGTTAAAGAGCAGATCCATATCCATGAGGGAAATCGGACTTTTACACCTCACCTGGTCAGAGAGAGACAGTGAGAAATTCCAGCTCCGTGGGGTGTCTCTTTTGCCATTCATGCCATCCTCCACTACCTCCCCAAGAAGGGCTAGCTCACCCCTTTGAAATCCTATTAAACAGTTAAAATTATAAAGTAAATTAAAAACTAAACCAACAAACAAAACCACCAAACCCAACTTTGCCTAGCATAGGGATAAAAATTTCTCCTACAAATTTGCACTCTGCAGTCCCATTCTTCTGAATTAAGCACAAAAAACCTGCAAGACAGTTTTTGTTCTTCTTACTTTGATGGCAAAGCCAAGAAGTACTGAACACTAAGAGTGACATTTTCCTTTAATAAAAAGCACAATCTTCCAGTAGCATGATTTTCTAGGAAATGATTTTGATGGATGAATCACTTGGCCTATCAAATTCTGCGAGGTCCAGAATGACAGAAATTCTGGATGGTATTTACCGCACAGAGCTCTCATTTGTTCCTTGCCAATGGGCTTTTTAAGAATACTGCGCTTTGCTCACTGCATACGTATCTAGAACTACATTTTAGGAAAAATCCTTCAAAGTAGCTGCCAAAGACGAAAGGATTTAGACTGAAACACCCCGGAGACTCAGCCCCAAAACCACCGCAAAGCGCAGAGCTGCTCCTGCGGGGACGCTGCGGGGGCTGGTTGCGCTGCAGCGCCCCCCAGTGCTCTGTCCTGGCCACCTGCAGCACTGGGGGGGACTGGGGGACCCCCCAGCCCTTCCCGCTGAGCTCTTTGCACCTCATCCCAGTGCCAAAAGGTGGGTGTCTGAAAAAGTATACGGCTTGCATTGCAGTTTTTTCACCCGATAATTTAACTTGTCCATAGTTCTAAAGAAAACCAGACAGAATTCAGAACAGGAAATTCCTGATCATTTTGAAGAAACCATGACCTGTTCAAACATTTCAAGAAATTTCCCAGCAATTTCGTGCTGGTGTGAGGGGCTGCCCATGGCCCCACCTCAGCCAAGCACACTGAGCCCCAGCAGCCCCCAGCCCCACCCAGGCACCTCTCCATCTCCCCATCAGTAGAGAGGCAGCGAGAACAGAAGCCTTTTGTGAACTTGCATTAATATTTTTCAAGCTCTTTGAAGTTGAAAAGCAGTACAAATAACACATATATTACAAAGTTTTGAGATAAAGCATTCATTGGCACTCAGGTCTGAGCATGAGCTGGGAACTCTGCCTGTCTCATCACCAGAGACAACCCCACGTCTTCGAGTTGTCACTGAACCACTGGGAAATGCAAAATGGTTTTGAAATCTTATTTTAAGGTACACAGCTGACATTCTTAATTTGCATTTTCATTGTTCAGGAAAACAAAGGCTAGTTTCTAGGGAGATCCTTTCCATACGACAACAGAATGGGATGTAGTTGGTGTGACCCTTATGGTGGGTGACCCCCCAGTGGAAATCCGAACACCCAAAATACAAATTAATCTAAGCAAAGCAGTTGGCAGACACAAAAGCAGTCCCATCATCGTCAGAATGACCTCAGCCTGGACATGCCATGGGTTGAGATAAGTGAAGTTTGGGATCATGGGACTAAGATCATCACCCCATGAGGACCAATTGCATGTCTTGTGCCCCCAGGAAGCCCTTCGTCCCCACAAAGCACCATCCCTCTCTTGCAATGCTTCTACTGGGACAAAATAATTTCTAGGTGGCTTCCTATCCCGATGGGCCAACTTGTTGCACAGCCAAGGAGCTACTTACTCCCCTTCATGATATTAATGACCAATAACATACATATTCAGATAAAAACATTCTGGAAGGTCTCACCCATCTCATCCACGCTCCCATTTCTGCCGGGGGTGAACTGCTTCATCCAAGCCCCAGTGAGGGCAATGGAAAGATCCCATTGAGTGCTGGGGTTTGGCCTGGATCCAGAGGTTTTTCAGCCTCTCTGGGCCCACTCTTCCCACATGGGGAAGAGAAAACACACAGCTCATGGCAGCAAGACCCAAACCCACGGACAGCAGCTCAGAGCTGAGTGAGACGCCTCCAGAAGCTCTTCAATTCACTAAGCTTGATTCACCCTCTGCTCTAAGTCGAGGGGTTTTGATCATTTACTACTTCGTACGGTCCCTGCAAGGCTGAGAAGCATGTGGATGATTTCATTTTCCAGATATTAAGAAATGCTAACAAGGGACTCGTGCATTAAATTGGACATTGGTATTCACAGTGGGAAAGGCACTGCTCCTACAGCAGGTTCATTCTGCCATATCTAAATGTCTCCACCAGGGAGCTGATAATGTGTTTTGAGAGAGTTAATAAAAATAATTGGCCTTCATAAAGGAAAAAGAAGAATATAATGTAAGGAGAGCTGGAAGCAGTTGAGTTTTCATTCTCTCAGCTGAGCAAACAGCAGGGAACAGCCACCAAAACTTCAGGAACGCAGCAAGAAAACTTGGAAGAAACGTCCTTGCTGGCAGGGAGTAATAGAAGTGAAATGGGGATGGACACCCGACTGCTGCAGAGCCTAGAGGAACACGTGGGCTGGGGGGATGGCCTGAGAACTGAGTGGGAATCTCACACCAGGGAGAGGAAGGGCAAATTAATCCACAGAACAGGTACCACCACCAGCCTCCGTGAAGTCGTGAGTGGGTCCTGCCACTACCAGACCGTGGACACCTTTGGTCATGGCTCCCGTGGGCACATGCCATTTGCCACTCCATAACCATCATCGCTGCCCGTCCCCACGGTGCCCTGGGGCATCGCACGCGCCACAGAATTGCAAGATTTCGGTTGCTAAATCCTGCCTGCTGCACTGCAAAGCCCAAGTGCTAAATAACAGAGCCAACGCGACAGAAGACGTGAAGTTTTTGGTTTATGTAAGAGTGAGATTTGCTGTTAGGCAGGAGGCGGGGAGAGAATCTGCTTCCCTTATTTTTAAATGCTGTGTTGTGTGAATTTAATGTGCAGAAAAGGTGCCAGACTAACAACCCCGAGGAACAAAACTGCCTGTTTAGCAAGCAGCCAGCTGAGCACTCGGCACAGCCTGGATCTGCAAAGAGGTTCTGCAGCTCCACAGCCCATCCCCAGGCAGGTCCCGAGACCAACACCGAGCCCTCGGGCTCCATCCAGCTCCCACCGGGCACCGGCACACCAGGAACCCGAGCAATGTGCAGAAACTGTTTACAGCTTAAACTTCATTTTCAACTTCACTTAAAATAAGCTTCCCCCATGGTGGGACAGTGCCTCTTTGAATGCTGTATTATTTTTATGACTTAAATATTAGGCTGTATAGCTTAAGTACTAGGCTGCTCTGCACCACGAATTACACCCATGGCAACAGGATCTGTTGTAAAGGCACCTCTTCAAATTATTTTCCCTTTCCGTTATCACCAAGGGGCCAAGAAACGAGTATCACATCTCTGTTTTGACTGAAGTAAAGAATGAGACTGTTCCTGCTTTGTCACACTTGATGGATGTTCTGGCTCCAGAGAAGCTTCTGAACACAAACCCAAGCCACAGACATCACACAACACACACTCTGCATCCAGACAGTGAGCTGCTCTGCTGCCTTCTGCAGAGAAATGCAGAGAAGGGAATAAACTCGGATTTCTGTCCTACTTTCTCTCTAACAGAACCTGCAGCTCACGTCTGTTTCAGCAGAGCTGTGCTCCAGTCCAGTTTTGTGTCCACCACGACCAATCTCACTGGGAACACAGTGATGGCTTTACAGCAGGTCTCCTGGGAAAGGATTTCCCCTTCAGGAAGGAGCAAGTCTTACAGAAAATGGACTGACAACATATCCTAACCAGTCTTCAGTAATTCAGATCACAGAGCATTTTCTGTTAATTTATCAGCTGCATACATTAATGCTTAATGAGGTAAAAACTTCTCAACATTTCTCAACTAAAGCTAAAGTTGCCAAAAATCCCCACATCGAACTGACGTTTCCACCACATTTGTTGCAAATCCTTTTACTTTCTTGAATGAAAGAACTTAGAATGAGTAAACCCTTGCTCCCTGACACAGCTCACAGAGGTACCGGCGCAGGTGTTGCTGCACTGCCAGAAACAGCCCGTTTCAGGTCAAGGAAGATGATGTGCACATTTTTCTAGGTGCCATAGATCACCACCATCCATCTTGACAAGTTAACTGTCCACAGTATTTCTATGAAAACTAGAAACTTAAACTAACAGAACAAATGAAATGAGTTGAACGACGATACGGGCAGATAGTGGAGCATCACAGGCTGACTGCTCTGCAAACGTGCGGGCTCCGATATGCCTGAGTTCACTCTGAACAGGAAATTTAGAGCATTCAATCACCCCACTCTCAGTGCTATTTAGAGATACTACATACATAGCAAAAGAATTGCTCATAGAGTGTGATCTCCGCAAAAAAAACCAGCTGAACTCAACAAATCTGGGAACAAAACATTAATTAATCAAAGCAGGGAATGGTACTCGGAGGGTCTGTGAAGTCAGTGGAGGCGTTGGCACCACGCTCAGGGTCAGCCCAGGCCGGTCAGTAAAACAGCACAACCCACACCAGCTGACAGCCTCCAGGAGAAAACAGGGGGGCAAGAGCTTTGGTTCTGACCAGCCAGGCTTTCTGCAGAACAGCCGTTTGTGAGTTGTGGTGGGGAACCCCTCGGGCTGCCCCTTTGAACAGCAGCCGGGCGGCGGCAGGGTGAGGGTTTAGGCTGCAGAGAACAGGGAGGGACGGTCCCCGTGACACGCTCTTGGTGACGAGGAGCTGGGTGCTGTGGGCAGACCCCAGTGTGTCCCCCAGCGAGGAGCTGGGCACATGGGGGCACCCCCAGAACTCTGCCTGGGCCCCAAGCTCCTCCAGAACCGCTGACGCTGCTGGCAGAACGGGCAGGGGCAAAGGGGGCACACTGTGGGCAAGCACAGTCACAGCACACAGCATAACAGCACTCCCACCGGACCGCAGCGCCAAAAGGTGCAGGAATCACCCCAGAATCCATCGCCCCAGACCACCGCGCTCACGGCAGCGTCCCCGCCAGCTCCCGCCACATCCACCGCCCGCAGCGCCCCAGGGCAGCCTTGGACACACGCAGGAAACCTGCCCACGGCACCCAGGGAGGAGCTTTCTAAAGGGTAGGAGCTCTATTTGAAATGAAAAAACTTTAATTTTTTAGAGTTCAAATAAGTTTTTAAAAATGTTTCTCTCAATTCTTTATTAGTTCTTAACAGCGCACTGACAACCTCCCATGAGACATCCCAGTGTTTCTCATGAAAAACTGGAATTAAAGAGAATAAAACCAGAATTATTCCTGATATTAAATACGAGCTTCTAAATTTA